ATTGTGAGCCGCCCTGAGTCCCCTCAGGGAAAAGGGCGGCATATAAATAAAGTAAAATCCTAAATCCTAAATCCATCCTCCACAGCCAACTGTGCGATTCCGCTGTGTCTGGAGGTGGAAACGGCTTTTAAAAACCTTAAAACAACTTTATTTTTCTGATAGTTGCGGAGGTTTCTTCAGCGCGCGGGTGAAAATTTTCGTTTTGAGGCCCCCTTTCCACTTCGTTCTTCTTTTGGGCAGGATCTCCCGCCCCGCAGGAGCCAGGAGCCGCTCAGCCGCCCAGGACGGCCACGGGGTTTGACCCCAAGCGCATCGAGACGTGGCTGGACCAGAACCACCAGAATCAAATGGGAATCCCTCCGGAGATCAAAGAGGTGTGCTATTCATCAGCTGAAGCAGAGTCAGAATGGGCAAGTCACTTAGCGACTGACATTCGGGGCTCAATTGTGGCCATAAGCTGAGGACTACCTTTATACATGCTGAATATAACTGATGGTGAACCCATGGGCTGCTTGCCAGGGGCGGCACACAGAGCCCTCTCGGTGGGCACCTGCACCATCGCCAGATGCTCTTCCGCTTTCCAACACGCCAGCCAGCTGGTCTTCGTGGGCACCGGAAAACGCCCCCAAAACGGCCAAAAATGCCCTGAAAATGATCAAAAAATGACCAAAAAGCAGGCTATTTTTTGAGCCAAAATGGCCAAAAAACCCGCCCCAAAACCAGGCACGCGCATGGCAGCCAGCTGGTCTTTCCTTGTTGCTTGTGCTCCAGGCACATTCCAGTTTGCCAAAAAGGTTCCCCATCCCTGATATATAAGCTTTAAATAAAACTACAAAAATAAATAAATAAATAAATAAACAAGCCCAGTAGGTTATTTATGGGCTAAAATTTAGTCTGCAGCCATTAAATAAATCGATCGGAATGCAAAAGCCAGCTCTCCGATGAAATCCTCGCCAGGCTGGGGTGTGAATCGAAAGCCGAGAAGTTTTGCATGCAGAACCTTGAAAAACTCTCGGCCCTGAAGCTCGGAGGGATCCCAGCAGGCGCTGGGGATTATTGGAACGTTGGTGGCGCAGTGGTTAAGAGCCGAGGTGGCGCAGTGGTTAAATGCAGCACTGCAGGCTACTTCAGCTGACTGCAGTTCTGCAGTTCGGCTGTTCAAATCTCACC